ATGTAATAATATGAATAACATGAGAAACATCTTGTAGAATTACTATGATATAATGCAGGTACAAACATACAGTATCATCAAGTCATTATACATTTACAGGCTGGAAAGTGCATGAGCACAAACATTGTCTTTGCCTTTAATGTGTCTAATCACAAGATTGAACCCTTGCAAGGTCAAACTCCACCTAATAAGTCTTTGATTCTTGTTCTTCATTTTGTAAAGAAAAGTCAAGGGATTGTGATCAGTAAACTATTCAATTGGAAAAGTAGAGGTACCAAGGTACACTTCAAAATGCTGCAAATCTAGCAAACGACCTAATGTCTCTTTCTCAATGGTAGAATAATTTCTTTGATGCTTATCAAACTTTTTGGAAAAATAACAAACTGGGTGATCAATTCCTGAATCATCCTCTTGAATCAGGACAGCACCTGCACCTACATCACTTGCATCAATTTGTAACTTAAATGCTTTCACAAAATTTGGTGCCTGCAATACTGGAGAATTCATGAGTATGGCTTTGACTTTTTGAAATGCAGTCTGACAACTGCTATCCCACTGGAATTTTACCTTTCCCCCCCAAAAGGTTGGTAAGTGGTGATAGAACATATGAGAAATTTTGACAAAACTTTCTATAATAGGCTGCCATACCCAATAATCTCATGAGTTTTCTCTTAGACTGATGTACTGGAAAATGTACAATTGCTTCAACCTAAGCATGAACTGGCTGTACCTGGCCGTGCCCTACAACATGCCCTAAAAAATTCAAATTGTGCCTTCCCAAATTCACACTTTTCAAGACTCACAGTAAATTCTGCTTCAGACAGTCTTTCAAAGAAAGCACGAGTTCTCTTTAGATGATTTTCCCACTCCATGCTGTAATTGATAACATCATCCATGTAAGCTTTGACACTATCAGAACACAGAACGTTATGGAAAATTCCACGGCATGACGAGAGCCGGAAATCAACAAGATAAACAAGTCAGCCAAGGGAGGCAACTCTGAAGCGCTATCAAAAAGGCGTGCTGCTACAAAGACTATTTCCATCGAACACACATGATGCGAGATGCGAGCCAAACCCACACTCAAAACTTTAAACATTGTGACCCATCATAACTATCACTTAATCAATGGGATATTACAAATTACAAATTACAAAAAACACACTCTCATAACAATTGTCTTTACTTGAAAGTCTGTCTGATGCTGCTCTGATGTTGTCGATACTGTGGTTGTGGCAGTTATACTGCTGTTCACGTGCTGATGTTGCTGCTGTCGACCCTGTCAAGACGATACTGTCGCTGTTGTGTTTGCTATTCTGACGACGACGACGCGCGACGGCGACGATGGTGGTAATGATGATGATGATGATGATGGTAGTGTTGGTGATAACGACAGTGACGAACCAGTTACCCAAATAGGGCACCTTGTTGATGGAAGTTATTAGAGAATCTTCAACCAGCTGCTTTTTCAATCAGCTCGATTGGCCAGCAATCAATGGGAATAATAAAGTGATATGGCCAGTTTATGAACTGATCTCTGCTTCGTGCCGCTGGGCCGACCAGGCCTAGGCCTCTCTGACCACTATCACTGGGCGGTATGTCGGTCACCTCCCTGCCAAGTGTTGTCACCTACCTCCTGAGAGCCGTCACATTTCAATGAATATTTGCCTCCCTTGATTACTTTGTTGTTGCAGCAGTGTTCCACTATATGAGTTAGTGAGTTTAGTTTGACACCACTTTTAGCAATATTCCAGCAATATCGCGACTGGGGAAACCAAACGACGAACAAACGCTTTAACTACTAGGCTATCCCCCGCCCCTGTGAATGAAGAAATAAAGTTAACAGTACATTAATAAAGAAAATGCTAAACCTCCAAGCCCCCAAAACACACACACACACACACACACACACACACACACACACACACACGCACACACACGCACGCACGCACGCACGCACGCACGCACACACACACACACACACACACACACACACACACACACACACACACACACACACACACACACACACACCTCCCCCAGATTGTATAGACACAATTACATGGTTACATGGTTGTATACACACAAACCGATACTGTATGGTGGAACCTGGATCCGGACGGCTCGTTATATGAATCTCAGTTTGATTTATAGTTTATAAATAATTCAGTTATGTCTTGCTAAATGTGAAAAGGACAATTTATTTGAATCAGGCTTATCCAAATAAAGTAGACACCCGGTGTCATGATGGCTGAACAAGAAACAAACAAGAAGTTGTGTTTGGAGGTCATGACTATTTCGTGTTGATTAACCTTTGTAAGAATCCAGTGTTATAGAGTATACTTTCTTTGCCCTGCAGTTTAGATATTTACGTACAATGACTCACAGTATTTTTAAAACACTAAATCTGGAACGTTTATTTATTAGCTAACTCGTCTACCTGCGCGACATGATTTCATAGAACAGTTGAGGTGTAATGAAGGCGAAAGGAATGCTCGCGATACAATCCAAATATATGAGTTGTGCGTGACGTGACTCACACAGATATGCTATTTTTTTACAGACAAAACATTGTCGTAAACGTTGTTAATTCCGGATGACATTTACAGACGTCCATATGGCGCTGGAAACAACTTGTATCAGTGACGTCAGTGCACTCAGGTTGTTCACGATTTCATAGTTGAATCAAGGGCCACCATCGATGTATGTGCGAACATATTCTAAATCAAATCTTCAATCTGAATAGAGGTCATGACTTGCAATGGTTTCAGAAGTGAGTGAGTGAGTGAGCTTCATATATTGTGCCCATGTGGGGAATCGAACCCGAATCTTCCGCGTGACGAGGGAACGCTTTAAGCACTAGGCTAGCCCACCGTCCCTGGTTTCCTTTCGTTAGGGACAAGGTCATTTCTCTCACAGACCTTCTCTCACAGACCTTCTCTCACAGACTTTCTCTCACAGACCTTCTCTCACAGACCTTCACTCACAGACCTTCTCTCACAGAGCTTCTCTCACAGACATTCCCTCACAGGCCTTCTCTTAGAGACATTCTCTCACAGACCTTCTCTAACAGACATTCTCTCACATACCTTCTCTCACAGACCTTCTCTTACAGACCTTCTCTTAGAGACCTTCTCTCACTCTCACAGACCTTCTCTCACAGACCTTCTCTTACAAACCTTCTCTCACCTTCTCTCAGACTTTCTCTCACAGACCTTCTCTCATTCTCTCTCACAGACACTCTCTCACAGACCTTCTCTTACAGACATTCTCTTACAGACATTCTCTCGCTGACAAACCTTCTCTCACAGACCTTCTCTCACAGACCTTCTCTTTACAGACATTCTCTTACAGACATTCTCTGACATTCTCTCATACAGACATTCTCTCATTCTCTCACAGACATTCTCTCACATACCTTCTCTCACAGACCTTCTCTCACAGACCTTCTCTTAGAGACATTCTCTCACAGACCTTTCTCTCACAGAACTTCTCTCACAGACATTCTCTCACAAACCTTTTCTCACAGACCTTCTCTTACAGACATTCTCTTACAGACATTCTCTCACAGACATTCTCTTACAGACATTGTCTCAAAGACCTTCTCTCACAGATATTTTCTCACAGACCTTCTCTCAAAGAACTTTTTCTCACGGACATTCTCTCACAGACATTTTCTCATAGATATTCTCTCACATACCTTCTCTCACAGACATTCTCTCACAGACCTTCTATTACAGACCTTCTCTCACAGACCATCTCTCACAGACCTTCTCTCACAGACCTTCTCTCACAGACCTTCTCTTCAGACCTTCTCTCATAGACCTTCTCTTACAGACCTTCTCTCACAGACATTCTCGCTCAAACATTCTCTCACAGACCTTCTCTTCAGACCTTCTCTCACAGACCTTCTCTCACAGACCTTCTCTTACAGACCTTCTCTCACAGACATTCTCTCAGACATTCTCGCACAGACATTCTCTCACAGACATTGTCTCACAGACATTCTCTCACAGACTCTCGCACCGACATTCTCTCACAGACATTGTCTCACAGACATTCTCTCACAGACATTGTCTCACAGACATTCTCGCAAAGACATTCTCTCACAGACCTTCTCTCACAGATATTTTCTCATAGACCTTCTCTCACAGACCTTTTTCTCACAGACATTCTCTCACAGACCTTCTCTTCAGACCTTCTCTCACAGACCTTCTCTTACAGACCTTCTCTCACAGACATTCTCGCACAGACATTCTCTCACAGACATTCTCTTAAAGACATTCTCTCACAGACCTTCTCTCACAGACCTTCTCTCACAGACCTTCTCTCACAGACATTCTCTCAGACATTGTCGCACCGACATTCTCTCACAGACATTGTCTCACAGACATTCTCTCACAGACATTCTCTCAGAGATATTCTCTCATAGACATTTCTCACCTTGCAACCATTCTCTCTCCCTTCATTCCTCCACTCTACGATGGTACATTCTCCCGCGGCGTGTGTTCTTACCCAGACGTCCTACGGCTGTAATCATATGTGTTGGCTGTCCTCATCACACACACACAGGGTCGCCATCAGCGGGTCCATTCAATCACCATTACTTCTAGCAGTGTCAGCGAATCAATACCTACATCCACAGCACGAACAGAAGAATGACTCATCGCGCCTGCACTCACTAGGGATGTGTGTTCTCACTAGGGACGGCTGGAGAAGGACGAGGAGCAGAATATCACACCCCGTATAGTTTACCCCCCAGTATCCGTTCACCTTGCTTTCTGCACTACTGGGAACTTCTTAATGCATTAGTAATGTCGTTGCTCCTACCGACAAATTGTCAATCTGGACATTCCTTCGTCTGAATATTTCGTACTCCGGACACTATCTAATCCGAACTATTTCACACAAAACAATGCAGTGCGGATTAACGAGTTTTCTCTGTATAGTCTCATACTGATTACCAGCTGACAATGGACGTCATTTTCTAATTACAACCATCAACTCCGACAACGCTGTTGTTTAATGACAGGACTAATCCCTGCCCAGACACCTGCACTGCACCAGAGTCTGATGTCTGACACACACGCCAGGTACCGGCCACGGTCATCCCAAAACAGACTGGGACTGGTGGTGGGACTGGTGGGACTGGTGGGGCTGGTGGGACTGGTGGGGCTGGTGGGGTGGGCTGGTGGACTGGGGACTGGTGGGGGCTGGTGGGGCTGGTGTGGGACTGGTGGTGGGGGGCTGGTGGGACTGGTGGAACTGGTGGGACTGGTGGGGTGGGGGCTGGTGGGGCTGGTGGGACTGGTGGGGGGCTGGTGGGGGGACTGGTGGGACTGGTGGGACTGGTGGGACTGGTGGGACAGCTGGTGGGGTGGTGGTGGGACTACTGGTGGGACTAGAGGCACAACTTGGGGTGGTGGGGGCGGGGCTGGGACTGGTGGTGGGGGGGCTGGTGGGACAGGTGAGGGACAGCTTGGGGTGGTGGGGCTGGTGGTGGGACTGGTGGGACTGGTGGGACTGGTGGGACTGGTGGGACAGCTGGGGCTGGTGGGACTAGTGGGCACCTGGGACTGGGATGGCTGGGGCTGGTGGGACTGGTGGGGCTGGTGGGGGGCTGGTGGGGCTGGTGGTACTGGTGGGATAGCTTGGGCTGGTTGGACTGGTGGGACTAGTGGCACAGCTTGGGGTGGTGGGACTAGTGGCACAGCTTGGGGTGGCGGGGCTGGTGGGACAGGTGGGACTGGTGGGACAGGAGGGACTGGTGGGACTGGGAGCTGGGCTGGTGGGACTGGTGGGGACAGGTGGGACAGCTTGGGGTGGTCGGGGGACTGGTGGGACTGGTGGGACTGGTGGAACAGCTTGGGGTGGTGGGACTGGTGGAACAGCTTGGGGTGGTGGGACTGGTGGGCCGGGGGGGACAGGTGGGACAGCTGGGGCTGGTGGGGGGCTGGTGGGACTGGGGGACAGGTGGGACAGCTGGGGCTGGTGGGGCTGGTGGGACTGGGGGGGCAGGTGGGACAGCTTGGGGTGGTGGGGCTGGTGGGGCTGGTGGGGCTGGTTGGACAGCCTGGGGTGGTGGGGCTGGACCATATATGCGATCAGAAACTTTGTGGAAGATATTCTGTTAGTTGTTTCCTCTATCAGTAATGTTCCGGCTATATGACAGTTGACAGTAAGTAAGTGTGCCTTTACCAGACAGTCCAGTGATTGCCCTCTCGAGCATCGATTTACTGACTGGAACACGATGACATGCTTTCGTCAATTTAGGAAAGTCTGACCAGTCGTAACCCGTAAAGATCCGGGTTATAATTGGTCTTCAGTAACCCATGCTTGTCGTAAGAGGCGACTAACGGGATCGAGAAGTCAGTCTCGCTGACTTGGTTGACACATGTCATCGTATCCCAGTTGCGTACATCTGTGTTGATAAAGTTGATCACTGGATTGTCTTGTTCAGACTAGTTACAGTCTGCCGCCATATAGCTGGTATATTGCTGAGTGCGGCGTTAAATAACAAACACACATGAAGTCCTCCGTACAGTTGTTCAATGATCGTACGTACGTACGAATTAAAGACTTGGTAGGGAGGGCGCTGTAAGGGCGTCAGTAGATATAAAGTATTTATAAGACAAGACAAGACAAGATTTTTATTAGGTCAAAGACCAATACAACATAAATATACTGAATATTCGCCTGTGCACATGGCGAGGTACGTAAATAAAGAGAGCAATCATATTGTTATTAACATTATAGCCCAAGAGTGAGGATATGTGTGAACGATTTACAAAAATTCAACTTTGTTTCTTTCATTTAAGATATAATAAATACACTTTGCAGCTTTCAGTACTTCAAAACTGTTTTCACATTTTTACAATTTGATAAACTTAAACATACTTATATTTTCTAATAAAGTATTACTTAAATGCTGTTTACGTATTTCTCGATATTTTGGACAAATCAAGAGTACGTGGTACTCATCTTCTATTTCGTTAGTACAAAAGGGACATAATCTATCAGCAAGTGGGGTTTTAGGCACACTCCATCTTCCTTTTCAACCATAAGCATATGTGAACTAAGTCGGAAACGTGTAAACGCAATTCGGTACTTCCTAACATCAATATTAGTTAAATATTTCTCGATGCACAGAGTTTCCTTAATATGAAGATACAATCTAGTTTCACTCAGAGTTGATAATTGATGTTTCCACATTTGAGAATAAATATCCTTAACCCTTTGTGCAAATTCTCTCACAAAATCACAACTTTCAGGAACATATTGGGCAGCCCAAATATAGCCAAAACCAAACCTGAAGAGCGTATCTCTCAATAAACTTGCCCAATTTTCAACATCAGGGTTCTCATTTGAACTATTCAATAATGAATTATATATCAAAACTATATATCTATCTGGTTTACTTCTCAAAATCTTAAGCCAATATTTGATAATCCTGACAAGACAAATAACTTTCAAAGGGAATAGGGATTGAGTACATTAATGTGTTAACAGATGTTTGGTTTGTGTTTGTTTTTTGTCTTATAACATACATATACCAGTATAGTCTTATAACATACATATACCAGTATAGTCTTATAACATACATATACCAGTATAGTCTTTACTCTAAGTGTTTCAGTTTTCCCTACTGTTACGACTCGAGTTATCCTTACATTTCTGTTTACGTTTGGTGTCATGATATGCTTCCCCAACATAACATTAATGCACATACGATGTTTCAATGCGCGCTAAATTCTCTTAAACATGTTGGGCGATACCCATGGCCAACAGCAGGTGTGCACTTAGAGCCTCGAGTCAAGCCGTGACCTTTATGACAAATAACAGAACTAAACGACTTTTTCTCTAGACAAAAACAAACCGTTGCATTTAATGCTATTACGAAGAAATGCTCATCAATAAATTAGGCTTTCAAAGCATTAGAAGGGATATGTTGTTGAAAAATCGAAGAGCTTTGGGAACAGAATTGATTCTCCAAAAAGCAAAATCCCGGAAGTTTATAATCTGGTTGAAAACGACAACGGGCGTCCATCACCAGGTTGAGGGCTGAGCGCTGAGAGGCTACTTAGTGTAGCAAGACGGGACTCACAGCAAACAGCAGCCATGTTTTTCTTGAAAGAATGTTACAAAGTAGTTAGGATTACGTATTTTATTCCGAATGAAACTATGAGTGGAATTCATTTTTTTCCAAAGACTTTTTTTACGGACCGCGGCAATGTTAAATGCATTTGTTCACCGTGACAACGCTTGATGCATGTGAGTTTGGAGGAAGAAAAGAGTCGTTTTGAAAACAGGATGTTATAAATAAAACATTATAAATGGTACAACTATAGGTCACTTGGTTGTGTGTTTTTTCGCCGTTTATTTTTAATATGGTAAACAATTTACAGTAAAATGTACAAATTAAGCAAACTAATGGTGACATTTGTGACAACAGCCCGGTAGCAAAGGTAGCTTGAATGACTACGAGAGAGGATGCAGGTGCAGTGTTCATCAATATGTCGTTGCTGTGTCTGAGCGTGACGTCATCCCACAGGTGACATCCTTACCTTGTCAACTTGCTGACAGAGTCAGCCTCTTTGGAAATTTGGACAAGGCGTTCGAATTCGGATCAGAAGGTCCTGGTTCGAATCTCAGCAAAAGACTTTACGCCCGCTACAGCTGTACGACTGAAAGTGAGTGAGTGAGTTGAGTTTCAAGCCGCACTCAGCAATATTCCAGCTATATGGCGGCGACGACTGAAAGTATTTTTCACACCCAGGAAACGGAAGTATGCCTGACCACTACGATAGACCCTTAACTTTTAAAAGTTACCCCAAACTTCTATTTCCAGAAAACACTAAAATATACATAGAAAACGTCCTTCTTTACATTGCTCACAATGAACGTCAATTGAGAACTGCGTGTCCTTCTAAAATATAAACTCTGTCAAAAAAGAAACGCAACCCCTGTATTTTAGAGATTTTGATCTGAAGTTGTAGGACGACACGGCATTTTTATTATTGAAGACAGAAGTCTGAAATTTGGCAGAATAATAACCCAGATGGGCATGTTTAAAATTGTCATTTCAAAAGTCATCTCACAGACACCAGTTTGTCACCAGGGGGGCGTCTTTCTCAGTATCTCGTATGAGCACCACGCGCTGCAATCACTGCACGGCATCTCCTTGGACAAGAACGGATAAGACGCCGGATTCTTTCCTGGGGAATGGCTCTCCACTCCTCCTGCAGTGCAACGGCGAGCTGTTGCAGCGTCTGTGGCGGCGGCTGACGTTGACGTACGCGTCGATCCAGAGTATCCCACAGGTGTTCAATAGGTTTGAGGTCTGGTGATTTAGAGGGTCATGGCAAGACATTGACGTTGGAATTCTGCAGAAAGTTCATTGTTGCACGTGCAGTATGAGGCCGGGCGTTGTCCCGTTGAAAAATCTGTGTCTGTTGGTCAATAATCGGGAGAAGGTGAAGCTCTAACACGTGGTTGATGTAACGTTGGGCTGTCAGGTTCCCCTTCAACGATCACCAAGTCTGATTTCTGGTTGTATGAGATGGTTCCCCAAACCATGACGCTTTCTCCGCCAAATCTGTCCACCTGTCGGACGCAGATGGGCGCAAAACGTTTATGACGTCTCCTATACAGACGCTGTCTTCCGTCGTGACGTTGCAAAAGAAACGTGATTCATCAGAAAACCAGATTCGCCTCCAGTTTTGTAAAGTCCGTATCCTTACGTTGTTGCACCACCTGAGTCGTCGGCGTCGATGTAGGGGGCGTAGTACAGGTCCAACAACTGGTCTACAGGCACGTAAACCCGCTTCTTTCAGACGGTTCCTAATCGTTTGAGCTGACACTCTCCTCAAACCTGGTATTTGTGTGGCAGTCACGGTTGGTAGGGCATGCCGATTACGCAGGTGATGGACCCGGATGTACCGATCTTGAAGGGGGGGTCGTGATTCTTGGCCTTCCACTTCTCGGGCGATCGTTGGTCAAATTGAAGTTGTTGTAGCGGCTCCAAAGTCGGGATATCGTTGTTTTGTGAACATTTAGGTGCCGTGCAACAGTTCCAAAACTTTCTCCGGCTTGAACACGACCAATGGCGATATTTCGGTCGGCAGCACTCAATCGTGGCATTTTTAACACAACTTTGCGGCGACAAATGAATGAATATAATACGGAAGCACATGGGCTTTTATACACCCCTACATTAACTGCCATTTTCATGATTTGCATGTGTTTTTTTTGTGCGAAGTCACCATGAGGGTCATTTCATGCGTTGTGACGGAATAAGCAATAAAATACACTTATGCGTACAAATGCAGTTGTTTGGATGGTAATCTTCATTAATTCCGTGTATCATTTCAATACATTCGAATAAAATTTAGTTTGGAAGCAATAACTTCATTCAAACGAATTTTTCATATCTGAGGACAGGGGTTGCGTTTCTTTTTTGACAGAGTTTAGGTTTAAAACACATCTAGGTCCTAACAAAAAAAGTTGCTATTCATTAAAATACTCCTGGACAAGATTAGATCGAAGTTCCAAATGCATGTAACGCCGCTGGATTATAGCGTTGTATTCAAATAATTAGTGAGGGTAATAGTATCTGACAGAACCGGAACCGGAAGTGGCAATAAAACGCCATAAAAATTAAAATGGAAGCAGGTTTTATTTTGCGCAGCGTTGAATCTGAAACATGCCCAGACAGGCACCTCAACACCTGTGATGGAATAATCGAAGAATCTGCTATCGATGACTATAAGTAAAGCAAAGTATATTTCTGGCTACACAAGAAAGAACAGCCGACAGATCAGCAATAAGTCAGCGTCAGTGACCATTTTGGCTGGACATACATTTCATAAAACAGATGGACGAAAGAAACATTCATATTACATGCTTCATAATTTCCTAATGTGATTAGCTGGAGTAATTTGCCGTCCTATGAAATTGGCAATTCGTCACCATGTTCTGGAATAAATCTCCCTGTTCGCTTTTTCCTACGATGACTTTTACATTCATATTACTTCACAATAACACAAGTAATTTCCATTCATCATGCAAAAGAACAATAAACTAGCACTCGGGCGTAATAAAATATAGGACTGGGGCCCAGATACGAAAGTTTGCCTTAATGAAAAAAGCCGCTTTACATTAATCAATAAAGGAACAGATACTATATTTTGGACTGGCGACAAACACGAAACGAAACGAGTACGGCTGATTTAATTCACCCTGGATCAATGACTAGCATAGCGGTAAGGAGGAAAAAGACGAACAGGAGAATTTCATATATTTCCTTTCGTTGCCAGATTCGCAGCGACTCCCTGGTACGGCGATGATGTGAATGAACACACCGTCATTTTGGCCAGAATTAACTCATCGCGGCCATCTTGTATTAACATCATGGAAGGTCCGTGGAAGATGCTGATTTAATTTGAAAGTGATAGGGCTGAAGTAAGGGTTGTAGGGCCCACGTGACCAGGGATTCATAAGGGTCATACAGTTGTTTTCGTGTTTACAGGTGCGACAGGATTGTTGATAAATAATGATCTGAATAATGGATCGGCGTTTGCAAACGAAATGAATGGATAGGAAATATTGTTGCTATTCAAATGAAATAAGCAAATGAAATATGGATTCATAGTTGTATTTCTTAATTGTCGATAAAAGTACAATTACTTTTGAAAGAGTAGACAACACTGACTGACTGAGTTTGGTTTTACGCCGCTTTTAGCAATATTCCAGCAACATCACGGCGGGGGACACCAGAAATGGGCTTCACACATGAGTAGACAACACATTTTGAACATGTCAGTCAGAGTGAGTACGCCGCTTTTAGCAATATTCCCGCAACATCACGACGGAGGACACCCAAAATGGGCTTCACATATTGTACCCATGTGGGGAATCGAACCCGGGCCTTCGGCGTGACGACCGAACGCTTTAACCTCTAGGTTACCCCACCGCCCCTGTGATGCCAGAGGTTGTGGGGGTTGGGTTTTGGTATATATGGGTTGTTATCTGTGTTGTGAGTCTGGGTGGGCTTGGCTTGTATTCTGATTATTTGTGAAGAGGGGTGGTGGTTAAAGCGTTCGCTGACCACGCCTAAGACCCGGGTTCGATTCCCAACATGCGTACAATGTGTTAAGCCAATTTCTGGTGTTCCCCGCCGTGATATTGCTGGAATATTGCTAAAAGCGACGTAAAACTCACTCACTCAGTATTTATGCACATGTCTCCCGCGGAGAGCCATTGGAGAGGTAGACCTTAC